TCTCTATACGGGTTTGTTAAATTTGACCAATCTCGCAACCACCATAAAAAACTAGGAAATAAACATAAATTATGCATATTTCATTCTAGAGTTAACACAAGTTATAACACGAAAACATAAATGTTTAGATGAAATAGCTTAAATCTCATAAGATTATACATTTTTATATATATATATATATATATATTTTTTTTATTTTTTTTATATTGACCTTTCACCCGAAGTCTGGTTTTCAGATTTTATTTTTGTAAATAGTAGCATAACATTCAATTATTTGTACTAAATTGCTTTATTTAAAGAAGTTTGAAGATAAATTTAATAAAAAAAAATCCCAAAATATGTTAGACTATAAATAAGCTTGACGGGAAACAGGCTCTCCTTGGATGAAGTCCCCCAACAATCTGGGTTGCTCATCTTTGAGAACTTCTCATTTCTATTCTGCACTACAGGTCAGGGGCTTTTCTTGTGTCTTCTTGCCTCTGGCTGTTTTGTAAGTTGATGTAGTGCTGGTCATGGGAAGATCAGTAACCTCAGATTGTTGGTAGTCATGAGGAGAGTCTTCTTCCATTGAAGGTAAGTCAGGCTCCTCAAGCAAAAGTGATTCAAGCAATGCTGGTTCATGCTCCTCTCCATTTTTATTTATTGTGGCTTCTTCTTTCAATCCAGAAAGAGAGACTTCTTCAGAGGAAGAAGCAAAAAACAATTTCAGTGCTTCATCTAAAGAAATATTTTTCTTTTTCCTAAGCACTGAAATATCTTCCATCTAAGAAAATTGATCTGCTATTAATATTCAGTTGACATAATGAAAGCATGATGCATATACATTTGAATTATTGAGATTTGAATTTAAGAATACATTTAACAAATGTACATTTTATTTGTATATGCATGGACATAAGCAAAATCACAAAATATAGTAAAAACTAATTCATATGATATACAACAAATGAATCTGTGATAAACATTATGGAAATTTACTAATTACGTGTTATATAAAAAATGCATACATCTTACTTTATGTGATATCCAAATAGGTGTTGAGAGATACAGGAGACTAAAAATATATGCAATAAATTATTATTTGGTGTAAAGAGCAGGTAGAACTAATACAAACAAACAGTTTATGAATAAAACTAAGTATATCTGACATTATATTACTAAAAGATATCACTCCATGGTGATATATATGTGTGTATAAAATAAAATAAAGTGAAACTAATTTCAGTAAAGTTATCATGTTTAATTATTCATCTCTAGCAACATAACATCTTTGAATATGTATAACTGTTATGTATAAAAAAGCACATCTTACCTTAGATGAAACTTGAAGTGCTCCAATTTCATGATTTCAACAATGATTTTAGCGAAGACTTGCAAATTGCTGTGCATTGGTTCTTTTGGTAAATGAAGTTTCATTTCTGTAAGAGTCTTTTATATATGTGTTAAAACTCAGTGTACAAGTGACAAAAATAAAATCCATCTGTTGGTTGTGAAACAGACTAAACACATTCGTCTCAACATTACAGAGGAAGCTGTGACATTCTCACAGTTGGGGTGTCAATACACTGAAGAGCTTAAATTTCAAATTCCAATATAAATCTTGCCTATAATGAGAGGAATGTGACCTAGACTAATCTTTTGAGTGCTGTGAAGGGATTTTCTTTGTAATTTATGGTGTCTGTATCGTTTGGTAATGTCTTGTAACAGAATGTAGTATGTAACTAGGGTTGGGTGGTGTTATTCAAACCACCCGTACTGTAAGCTACTACATACATTAACTAGTAGTAGCAATTAGTTTTGTCTGTGTAGTGAAACAACATACAAGGACATATGTTGAAATAAACTTGTTTGAAAGTTCAAAGATATGATATTGAAGTACTGAAAAGCTTTCCTACTATCATATCTATAGTAACATTGAAATGCGCCCACACTGGGCTGAACGAGAGTGACCCGCAATAGGGATGATAGAGTTTAGGGCAAACGTACGAAGTTCACGCTGCTAACCTTATGGTTTTTTTTGCACAGTAAACAAAAGTACAGCTGCAATGAAACATAAACTTGAAATAAAAATACATTTATGAAACAAAATTAAAATGTTTTTTATGTACATATATAAATGTAAAATCCTATTTAAAAATAGAAAAAAATACTTGTATATTGTTTAGGTTTATTTAGAAATATTATTTTCAATCTTCTATATTACTTGAAACCATAAGGTAATGTAATGTACCATAATGTAATTGTTGAAAATTTAAAAATAGACAAAATTTGCATTTTCTGGACGATAAAAAGTTTTTAGAGATTTTAAAACAATGTACTAAAGCATAAAAAGTAAGAAGTTCAAATTTGGAACAAATATAAATGTTGTAATCATATTTCATAAATATCATTTCCTAATGTAATTTTCCAAGATATTGAAGATGATAATGTAAAAACTAAATGTATCAAAGTAACAGGCTTTATGTTTCTTAAACTACATGCATTTATGAAAGTTTTAATGAAGTTTAAAACAATTTCATCCACTTGTTTTATTGTTGAAACGAAGTATAGCAAGGCTTGCATTGGTTATGCAGAAAGTTAGTAGCTGACAGTGATCGGGTTAAACTTATTTTACTCATAGTAGGCTACAGGAAAACAAAATACTAAAGAATTACAAATTTCAATAATGCTTTCTGATTCAATTGACCTTTGATTTATTTTATATTATAAAAAGTTGTACAAGGAAACATCAGAGAAAAAGCATTATGTATGTGAGTTGATTATAGTTTAACCACTGAGTTTTAAATAGAGAATTATTGAATGCATAATATTAGAGTATTTTTAGAAAATGTCATTTTAGTATTTGTCTCTTATTGTTTTATTTTGCTTTTTAATGAAAAAAAGCATCAGGCTGCTCGTACAAAAATAATCCCTGATCAAAGGCTCCATTTAGAACTATTGACATAGACCTTCATCAACTGAATAAACATATTTTTTAATAATAAATAAAATTTTATGATCTTATATGGTTACTAGCTGGGTACCCATCCCCTGGACAGAAGTTATGTAAATTCATGACTAATGAAAGGTTATCTTAGGACATGAAAAGTTGAACTGAAAATTTGTATGTAACTCCTCATGGACCCACCAAACTTTCATGCCAAATTTGGTGAAGATCCATCAACAGGGGCAAAGTAGTGGTAAAAATTGTAAAAATGGCCATAAAAACCACAAAATGCAGAACTGAAAATTTGTATGTATCTTCTCATGAACCCAATGAATCTCCATACCAATTTTGGTGAAGATCCATCCACACCCCTGCAAAATAGTTACATGGACATACAACAGACAACACTATTACATATATATAGATGTAGATCAGAAAACTAGCATGAAAAAGAATGTTTGAAATAGAATCAGTTATATACATGGTTATTTTAAACTTTTATAGGCTTACAACACATGTTAAGTCAGATATACCATTGCTTAGTGTTTGTCAAACATTTAAATGTTTTCAACAATTCATTCTGACATGTTTTGTATGTGCATTGGCAGAGTGATAATTGATGAAAATACACAAAATATATGTACCTTTTATGATACTATAAACAGTACTGTCTTGTTTAAGAAGAAAGATTAATACACTTTGTTGGAAAGAAAGTGGGTGCTTTTTATTTTTATTGGTACTTTTATCTTTTGCAAACTGAGAAAAAAAATGCAATGATATGCAAAAAGTAATTATTCAGAGTCTATGCTAAACAAGAAGTGAGTATGTTTATATGTTTTTCAAATGAAAATTTGTGTTTTTTGGAGTGGTAATTTGGTTACTAGATTTCATAAATTCTCCAGAATGTATTTATGATCTATCTATTTATCTTAATTAGCTTACTAGTCTTCCCGATCTGAATCATCTTCCAGTTCCACAGATGGAAAATGAAGCTAAGAAAGCAACAGCTAAACCACAAAGGCAAGCATTTCATTTGACCAATTCCCATACCTATCTGAATTTTTAATGTATATTAATGCATATTTGCTGTAATAAGGGAATTTTATGTAAATACTATTAAGCTTTGGACATAATCACATCCAGGTAGGTGAACAAATACTTCACAAACAGTTTCTAGAGAAAACGTCAAAGAATAAGATGAAAATGTTAAGATTTTTGTTCTAACTTCTCCAATGATATGGTATTTCATGCTCATTCATGAGATGTAACAAATGTTGCAAGTCATAAGAATTAGACAAGATTTGAACCTCAATATCATAAAACAGACAGTTCTTGTGCAAAAACATTTAAATAAAAATTATTCAAATGAGACATCAATGTTTATTACTTGCACAATAATGTATTTGTAAAGTTTAAAAATACAAGTTAAAAAAACTTTAAAACTGTGCATGTTTCAGTGGAAATAATTCCACCATTTTCAGGAGAATAAACCACGAAGTGGACATGAACTGGATGTCTCACGTGATTAATCTTTATTTAAGATTTGTACCTGTTCAAAATGAATAAATGTTATTAAATTGCTATAAAATTTCAAAAAAAGTCCCAAAATTTTAGTGCTTTCAAATAGTTTACTATTCTTTATTCTCCTGAAGATGAATAGTCAACTATTTGAAAGTGCTCGAGTTTTGGTGTGTTTTTTAATTCATTGTACCTTTTGTGTGTGATCCTGTGTGTTAACTCTTTCATCAGAAATGTTACTGCGTTAGTTATCAAAAAATTAAACTTGTGCTTCATTCCTAAATTACTCAAAATATCTTCTTTTAATAACAGGATCACTTTTCTGTTATAGTATTTGCAACGGGTTGAAGGCATTATAATGGAATTTCCTATTATACTTTTATGTACTGTATTTTTAGGAAATATGGTCTTTGTTGCTTTACAGAATCTTTTTTTTCCTTAAATCATACATATGTTTGTTACAGATGAGAAATTAGCACCTGTATTATTTAACGTTTCTTATATTTAAAAGAAAAATTGGTTGTTTGATGAGAATTAATAAACAAAAAATACAAGTGAGTTGTAACACATACCATAACCTTTTTTGAATTAAGGCTAAGTTAGAGTGTTTGTGTCTAGAAAAATTGATTAAAAGTTGTTAATAAAAGATTTTTCATTTTATTTTAATTGAAATATTTCATTATTAGAACTGTAACAGCTCCTGTAGTAGAAAAGACTTCAGTTGCACCCCGACAGCGACCCAAAGGTTCCCAGGCTCCACCAACTGTTGGCAGCCTTCCACTTCTGCCACAAGGCAATCTTTCTTCTTCTCGCAGTTCTTTACCAAATGTAACACCATTTACTCCTAATCAACTCTCTGAAGTAATTTTGTTACAAGGTGGGGTTTTCTGTGTTAGTATAAAGTAAATTAGTTTTATTATAAGTGTTTTACGTATTTTTATTTTATATCTATATGTTATATACTGATATTTTTGTACTTTTATAATGAATTAATGATTAACAATTGCTTTTATTTTATATAAAAGACTTAAGTAGCTGGTTGAAGATTCCTTTATGCATTGATTGATTTTTTTTTGCCGAAGAAAAATACTGCATTAGTTGCTTATATTGATGCACATGTTTAAAAATTGTTGTAGCACTAAAGCAACAAGTTGATTGTTCATTTATTTATTTAACCTTTCAATTACAGTACATTATATATCCATAGCTCCTGTATTAGGTCACATTTTTTATTAACATTGGCATAATGGTCTAATATATAACTAATAATTAATCATAAGGCTGTTTTTGTTTCATACATCAAATAAATATTAAAAATTACCAGAAGAGGCATACATAGATCATGTTAGCCTTATTTATGTGTTTGATATCTTGGTCATAGGAAGGTTAAAAATCACTGATAACTGGACTCTTAATTTATTGGTGTGTACTAAAAATTACTTATCACAACTGCATGTTATTGTTACCTTAGTTTCATGTACTAACAATTCATGTTCAAATTATGTTATGTATTAACACAAATAATACATGTTAAATACCTGGACACTTTATTGTTTCCTTTTATGACACTGTATATAAACAGTTATTTCATTGATTATATGTAAGAAAAATATAAATTCACAAACTGGCAACCAGCTTCTTTTTTTACCAGTACTCATTTTAACTACCCTTTTAACTCTTTCGCTACGGGCAGGTCAAAGGGTGCATGTTATGACATTTTAAAGAGCTATTTTCAAAATTTCATTAAATAGCTATGCTATTACTGATGTCAAAGGGATTCATATCAAAACAGAGGTTATATTTCAAATTTTAATATTATATATATGTTTTAATTTCTTAATTTAAAAGGAAATATAAAGAGAATAATGATAAATATTATTTTTTGCATGTCACATAATACTTCCTGTTGTATTATTGTTCAGTTTATAATTAATTATGTCTACCATACTATGTGTGCAGTAATTAATGAATTAGAAACTCAAATTGGAGATATTGACAAGTTATAATTAAAAATACAAACCTCCTACCTCTTTGATTTGCTGAGATATGAGTATATTTAGCCAATCTAGTAGTTTGACTCTTCCTACTGCTCCAGTCTTTCAAAACCTCTTGTCTAGTCCCACCTACTTTTATTTTTCTAAGAGTTTATAATCAATAGAAAGAGCATTTACTTGTGTACGTAAGTCTTGTAGTCATTTGTAAATAGCTTGAAGGAGAAAAATCTAATTTCACCTAAACTGTTGAAGTGGGATAACTAAGTTGTTGCTCTGAAGAGAAACAGGATGTTTTAAAACTCACATAAAGCTTATTTAGACACCCAAATAAATTACAGGTTTTTGTGTGCACTAATATAGTAAGTTGATTTTTTATTTTTATTTTATATGTATATTGGAAGTGTAAAACAATAAATAGCTCTACACTCTCCATTCGGAAGAATAAACAAGGCTTACGGCAAGGCTTAGCACGTGCGATGTTCAATCACAGTCTCATAACCACTGTAAGTACTCAGAATCTTTGTTTTTTGAGGTGTATTTTCTTTATTTTTGCAAGTTTTCAGAAAAATAAAAAGAACTTAAGCATTTGTGAATAAATTTTAACATCCCAGAAGAATTCCCTATATTTCAACAATTGCAATGTTTATTGTGTCAGAACCAAACCATATAATAAACATTTTGACAGATTCAAAGTGCAGTCTTATTCCTGGAGAATACTTGTTGTAAGACACTTTAGGATAAATACATAAGCCGACAAATTTCACATCCTGTTGTTGGCATAAACGTTTTCACAGATTCTAAGTGCAGTGTGATTACTAAAGTTAAATTTCCTAGTAAACACTAAGATATATAATCCGATACATTAGACATCCTGTTCTCGGAGCAGGGGTCAAGTCAGCTATCCATTCGTGCGTGCTTTGTTGCTTTTGAAGGTATTGTATTATAGTGTCACGTAAACAGTCCACTGACATAATTGGTGATTTATTGCTTCATTTTCAGCAGATTTCTACTTCAGCCATAGACAGTAAAATACACATAGAAAATGAATGTGAAAGGTTTAGCAGTTGAAACTCTCTAGAGAAGTACTTTAAAATCTTATGAACAATAATCAAGAAAACGGGGCAAAGCTGCTCATTTTATTTCGGATTTTACAACTTTTCATCATACTTTGATGATTTGTCTACTTTCTGAAGAATAAAATATACTGTTAGGGTAGAGGTAATAACAGATGAAGTATAAAAGTTTTACTGTAAAAAAAAAAGTCATATTTACTGAGGGGTTTTTAGAGATTACGAAAATGAAGGTTGAGATTTTTGAGACATAAAAATTACTTTGATCTCGGAGTAGTAAAAATGATTTTTTTTGTACAAATGACATGTAACATTTGCTAAAAGTCTGTCAAATTTTATGAAAGTACACATACTGTATTAAAAGTTATAATATTAAAACTACATACATGTAAAAATGGTCACATGGTTGGTCCCTGGAACAGAGCCCGTGTTGAAAGAGTTAAAGTACTTCTTAAATACCTGCTTTTCTTTAATTATAACTTCATACTTATTTATTTAACTTTTTAGATACCCTTCCATCTCAGAACATCTTACATCCTGTATGTCAAACATCCCTTTCCCAACCACTGGTGGTCTTCAACTCTTTATCACAGCAGTTTGTCAATAATGCTCAAGTAACATCACAGCCACCTCTTCAGGATGTTGTTGCATCATATCTACCTACTTCTTATGTGATACCCACTGAATGTATGCCCTTAAATATTCCACGAACACTGACCAGCCCTGCCACTGCAGGCCAGACTGTCTTGTTAGCTCCTTCTGTGTGTTCTACTTCAGCACCAAGTTCAGCAGCTGTGACACCAAATCAACCACAAACTGAACATTCAGGGAGAAGTAAAACATCATCCCTTGAGGCATTGTTCCCAACTAAGAACTACTCCCACCCATTTAATCAAAAAGTTCCCAAGCCATCAGCATGTGATAGCATTGATTTCAAAGTTCCACCTATTCCAGCCCCTCGGTCTATCTCCCACAAAGCTGTGGTTGTAGAAGCTGAACCAAAAGTAAATTCTGATTTCAGCTCACAGTCTCTTATTTGTGTTTCACCTTCTCCTACACCTAGCCAAAGAAGTTTTCATAGGAGAAATGTGAGTGACACTTCAGCATTTGACAAGTAAGTATACATTATAATATTTCATCCAACTGTACGAAAGGTTTCTATAAAATGTTGAAAGATTTACAATATACGTACAAAAAATCAACAAAGATACAACAATATGAGAGGATTATTAGTAATATAAAATTTTAGGATTAGTATTTAAATACTTTGCAATAGAAAGTCCAAGTGTATTTCAAAAGTTGTAGGGAGTTACTACTGTACTTAAAAGTTGATTGTTTCAAAGTTGTTAAATATGTTTATAACAGCAACCATAGGCAACATTTTAAATATAAAGGATGAGTTTTAAAAAGTCATGGTGAATAACATTAACAAGCTTTTTACATACACATCAGATAAAATTAAGTTTGAAACACAAAAGGTTAAAACAATTTCTTTTCTGTAAGAACTTGCCATATATTTGACACAGTCTAGTGTCTTCTTCAATGACTACTTTGTGTTGTAGGTTATTGTAAGAGGTTAAATATGTTTATGATAGTAACATAATATACTGTTGGTACAATTGTATTGGTACCTATGTTCATGTGCTTGTCTCTTGAAATATGTATTGAAATTTATTATTAGGTTTTACTATAACTTTACTAATTTTCCAATACAGAATGTGATTTTGTGTAAGAATGTGCCCTGCTAAGCCTGAAGTGTTGAGTCCAGCAGAATTTGATATTTTTGTGGTATTTAATTTGTTTATTTAATATTCGGCCTGTTTCACCATAATATAGATCAGGACATGTTTCACAAGGAATTTTATATACACTACTAATCTTGTTTTGGGGTTGTATGGACTAAGGTATAATTTTTAAGTGTCTTTTAACCTATTCAGAGAATCCTTTAATATATGGAAATTTATGGCTGGTTTTAAACCATTTGATTTTCTTGAAAGTGTTTTAGCCTTTTGTGTTTTAAACTTAATTTTGTCTGGTGTGTCATTGAAAAGATTTTTAAAGTAACATTCCAATTTTTCATGCTGTGTTAAAGGGTTATTTCTTAAAATATAAAATTTATATGTCCTGAATAATTACTGTAAAACAAGCATATATTATGTTGGCTGACACTTTTTTATGGGCAATTAAAGACTCCACAATGAATGAACATTATGTCTGAATTTGGACAGATTGTTTTAGCTATTTGGCAAGTTAAAGCTTAATTAATGACTATAATTTAAATGTCGAAAGCTGGTGAAGCATTAGAAACCAATAGCCTTCAAATTTATGATAAGAATCATGTAAACTGCAGATATTTTTTTTTTCCACATTACTCATAATTTGTAAATTTTTGGTTCAAAATCAGAAATGTCTAAAAATAAAATTTCAGGTATATTGTCTCCCAAGAGGAATTTTGTTCAGCATCAGGACTCACCAGTTGGGTTGGATGATGAGAGATAAAAAATATACAGTATAATACTATGTAATAATAGTGTTATCAAAAAATTCAAAATTGCATTTCTTCTGAGATGTAATTGACCATGAAATTTGATAAGTATACAGTTCAAATGCCATAAGCTCAATCTTCATGTAATTGGTTTATAGATTCAAAATTGACAGAATTTTCTAGTTATACCAGCTGATTTTTAAGTTTATATACATTAATTTTGAGAAGGATGTGCTGTGATTGTTTCTCTGGTGTTAAAGTACCTGCCTATTACAAAGGTGTGGATTCTAATTCATCTTGGTTTTTGGTTTCTTATTAGAAACTTTATATTTACGTAGGATGATGTGCCACTCTTACAGTTTATATTTGGTTATAAATAAAAATTCTTTAAAAAATAACACAAAAGGACACAATTTGATTTTAAATTTGAAGAGCTGGCTGTAATAGCCTGAGATTTTTTTGCTAATTTTTTTATGTTACTTATGTCAGTCAATTCGGTAAAAGTTACACAAATTCAGTTTTATTTTTGGATATACATGTATAATAATCCAATAAATTGCTGACAGAAGATTGTAGGTATTTGTATTTTTACATTTTCACCTGAAAATGATTAAGAAGCTAAAAAAGATACAATTAAATAAACCTCTCGGCTACAAGTTTGAACATTTAAATTTATATTATTACATTAGTCTTATCATTTTGGACCTGTGATTTAGAGTAGATTGTAGTTAAAATATTTATTTAACTTTATAGAAACTTTGCCCATGAAACATCTCAGTTCCTTGCACCATTTGAAACTTCAAAGGGTAGGAATGGAACAACTCACAGGACTCAAGGAATAACAGCATCTATTTCACAACAGCCAGCACCACATCATTGGAATCCTTTTGATGATGCTGTGTCCTTTAGTCAAATGACAGAAGATCACATTTTTGGCCAAGAGTTTGATAAAATTAGAAGAGGATCACAAAGCAGTAAGTCTTATTTGTGTGTGTGTGTGTATATATATATGTTATATTTATTTGCGTGTATGTGCTCATGTGTATGTGTGTATACCTGAAGAATGTCACATCATGAAACTGGTTGCTGGTATTGTCATATTTCATTAAGACATTTCAGGTAAAGCTGACACTTTTTGTTTCAATTATGTTATACATTTCATTGTAATGATTTAAGTTTTATTGTTTACACTACATGCAAGACATGGAATGGTCTAGTGCAGTGGTTTCCAAGCTGCAATTATGACACCCTAACCCCATTTACCTTGATTTATACAACACCCCTGCTGCCACATGCAATATTTTATTTGTAGTAGTTTTTTTTTTAAGTTTTTAATTATTCTTCGTTTGGAGAAACTTACAACACCTGTAGCAACTTACCGTAACACACAGTTTTGGAAACCACTTGCCTAGTGGTTGGTGTGTCAAATTATGGTTCAAAGCATCTTTGTTTCACATTCTCTTAAAATAAATCAAACAGTACCTTGGAAACTGTGGGTACATTATAAGAATGGTATTCAAATCACATTATTCACTTAGAGTGAGTAGTCCAAGGGTTGACAGTGGATGATGTTAACTAGCTACCTTCCCTGTATTTTATCAGCTCTGCATGAATATCCAAAATAAACACTCACATATTGTGGTTTGTAACACTACCCGTTAGAAAAAAACATACGTACATCTTACTTTGCAGTAATTTGTGTAGAAAAAATATAATCTATTGTATATTTCTAACGAAAAAGTTATTAAACATTGAAGAAAGTTTTTTTAATTAAGAAATGCTTCACCAAAGGCTTCATGATATTGTAGCAACAGTTTTTGAAGATATAGTAGTTTTCACATGTTAAATTTAACCTTCAACCTTAAAAATCATTGTTGATGGAGGTTAAATAATAATTGTTGAACAAAAAAGCATTTACTGTTTAATGGGAAAAGTTATCAGCTTATATTACACATGAATAGTTTGCATCTTATAAGAAAAGATACAAAAATATGTGAAATATACAGATGAAAAGAAAAATTATTTTTGGAATTTAATCTCATAGTTTTAAATGACGTTTAAATGAATTCTACATGTTATGGACATATGTGTATAGATACTATAAAAGCTATAGCTAATGTAAAATACTCCTACATTTTACTTATGATGCCATAAAATAGATAGTTGAAAGAATAATTGTATTACTACAAAATATATTTGTATTTAAGATAAGAGTAATTTTTGCAAAATGTGGATGGGTGTAAATTTGCAAAACCAGAAATTTGATATATTTTTAATCTTTTACAGGTATATCAAATGTGAAGAGTAGAGAAAGTCTAGTCATGAGTGCAACTGAACTCACTCAACCTGATCCTTTTGGAGCCGCTCCTTTCAGTCTATCAGGTGAGCTTATCTTGTTCTTGTATGTATGCCTTTAATTTGGACCTTGATTTTGTTTTTAGAGGAAGTACTTTCTTTGTAATAAAACTAAAATAATGTTTTTGTTCACTAGGTTTGTGTTGGAGCATCAGAATTATCTGTGTAGGCTTCAATTATGTTTAAATTTTAAACAGGATATAGCAAAAAATTTTAATATTTAAAAACAGTCTGCATAGATAAAAAGTTTTGTCATAACTGAAGTTTAAAAAATATCTAGAAAACCTACAAAATATTTTTTGGATCAAAAATAATATAAACAAGTCAAGGTTATTTTGTATCAGCTGATTCAACAATATTACCAAAACACTTAAAGAAACCTTTTATAATAATTTTGAGCTCCTCACTCTTAAGCAGCCTATTATAGTTTTTCAGATTAAAGTGTGTGTGTAAATAGTAGTATTTTATGTACAATGTGTCTGGTGTGGGCCATTCCTAGACAAGGCTTTTTCCTTAGTATTTGAGCTCTTTAGTATTGTATGGAATATATAAATATATTATTAGTTTTATTTCACTCACTAGTTACCATAAAAGTAACCACACCATACAGGTTATTAATACGTATGTGTGTGTGTGTGTGTGTGTGTATATATATATATATATTATTTCTAGTCTTATCTATTAGACTTACTTTT